TAGCCTGAGGCAGCTCTATAAGAAGCACAGGTGCAGGCAATGAGAAGCGAGAGCACCCGGGAGTCCAGCAATGGTGTACAAATGTTTCAGAGTGTCTGAGTGCCATTAATCACGGCGCATCCATTCCTATTGCCAGGGTCAGCTCCACCACACTGATGTGAATCGCTGCAGAACCATGGCCGTATGCAGGGTGCTCATCTAGGAAGCAGAGACCGTGTGCCTTTTCTTGTTTACATCTCAGCATGTTTGCAAAAATCAAAAGACAGGGCATGTAGAATCCTGTTGACAAGATGTTCTGCAAAGCCAGGAGCTGAGAGCGCCTTTCCCTCGCCGACCTGGAGTCTGTATTAGCACTCTCTGAGCTCCTTGTCTCCCAGGCATCCGAGCTGACAGCCTTTGAACAGATCTTGTTCACATTAGGAAGAAAGCGGCCACTCTTCTCATGTTGATAAATTTTGCAGCAGTTTTTCTCGTATATACCAGCCGCCTTGAAACACATCTAATTAAGCAGCAGTTAGCTTACCGGGACTGCGCTTGGCTTTGATGTGCTCATCAGCGTTGGGGAGGAAGTATGGGGAAGCTAATCATAATAGGACTTAGCTCTTATAAAATGCCTTTTATCTTCAAAGTGGTTTACAACCACTAATTATTAGAGGAATTAGGATGAATATCAACCATCTTGGTGAGACCTGAAGCCATTAGCCAGGGCTTTTAATGTATCTTCTAATAGATCAGGACAGTGTGCCGGGGGGGGGGGGGGGGGGGGGGGGGGGGGGGGGGAGGGTTAATAACAGCTGTCCGAACCTGGAAGACTTATTTCACAGAGGTAATGCAGCTGTTCCCTGTCTCCCTGGAGGCCAGAACATGGAAATTGGACGTAATTTGAGGAGAAAGGATGCTCACTGGAGGATTGCATAAGCTACAGCAGGTTGCCAGAGGGAAGATAGATAGTCTTTATCTATGGTGTCTGCACACACCTGACCCTTTTGGAAGCTTGTCCCCTTCCTGGTGGGCTGGTGTGGTGAGGCCACTTCACTATGTTCCATCCAGCTAACAGTCCATGTTAGATTAGTGAATCTTGTTTTTTTTTTTTTTTTTCTTCATGTGTTTGCTCACTTTCCCCCTTCCTCTCACTCCTGAGAGAGAGGGGAAGAAATGAAAGCTCATTTCTTTTCTCATGTGACTGCATGAGAAACTGAAACATGAAAATCATTCCTCCCAGAGTCTTGGGCATGTGAACACGTGCTCCCAGGTGGTGGCGTTGTTTGGGAGGTTTAGGAAGAGCAGCCTTGCAGGAGGAAGTACGTCACTTAGAGATTAAGAAGCCTTCATTATTTCCTCTCTCTCTCTCTCTCTCTCTCTCTCTCTCTCTCTCTCTCTCTCTCTCTCTTTCTCGTGCTTGTGGTTCAAAATCTGAGCTCTCAGCATCTCACTCCAGCTACCACCCCTGCGTCTTGCTACCTTGTCTTCCCACCATGGTGGGTTCCTATCCCTCTGAAACCGTAAGTAAAACTAAACTCTCCATTCTGTAAGTTGCCTTGGTCATGGCATTTTATCCCAGCAACAGAAAAAAGTTACTAATTGATATGATATGATATATATA